GATACAACGACTTTATGATTTGTGTATAGCGGTAACTCAAATACACAAACCTTCGGCGAACAATACTTATGTTTTGAACTCTCAAGATAGAAAAGAACACAAAGAACACAAAATGAATATGAACTTTGTAAAAAGAATGCAAAGGTTATGGAATAATTTGATGTCTTGAATGATTTCATGCTAGTGGGTATTTTATAAATGTATGGAATAATTTGGGACGTGCCCGCACAAAAACGGATGCATCTAGTGGCCAAAAGATACCTTATGGTCACCAAGGGTTGCGACCCTTTGATTTCTGCAGCCAGTTGCGCGCATGTGCGCCGTGGGCTCGTGCGAGCTCATATGGACTCGGTCGAGTTCCGTTTTTTCCTACTTGTTTCCAACGAGCCCCTCTACAATTCCAGCATACATAATGCATATTTATGGCTCGTTTAGTTTGTCCAAACGTTTATTAAAATATAATGATTGTGATCCCTACAACCTTTTGTGTTATTTAAACTCAATTAATTAAAATATAACACTTAGAATTAATTTTTCAATCACCTTAAAAAGGTTTTGACAATTTCCTAAGTCTTCTACTTACTAAAAATAGAATCGTTAAATCGCTACAAAACCAAATTTTTCTTACAGATAATACCGTCGTGTCATTGTTGGAAACTCTCGGAGGCCAGTTGGCAAAAGGATCTATTTTGTCCAAGCCTGAATTGGTCCCGTTTGGATTAGTCAAATCACCAATTTGAATACCGGCAGACATCGAGGATCGAGGCGGCCACTCGATATCGACATTCGGGCACGACGAGGGCGGAGGTTGCTTGGTGGAGCCAACGGATATTGACCGAAGTGTGGAATATCCGGTGGGGTTGAGTTGAGTGGGTTGACTAAGCACTGAAGGATGAAGAGAAGCTGATGATGATGTGGTTGAAGACTGGACGGGTGTTTGAGCTATCCTTGCAGGTACCCAATCCTCGTCCCAAGATGAACTGTGTCTGGTAATAGATGGGGCGGTGGAGATGTTTTTGTTATTTGTCCACATGTAAGATCGTCAACCGAATTTGACAATCGCATTTTTGATAATCTGTTGTCAGTCAAAGTGGAGAAAGAGATTAAATCTGCCTTATTTAGCCTTGATCCTGGTAATACACATGGCCAGGATGGAATGAGCCCTATCTTCTTTCAGAAGTTTTGGAGTGTCATCAGTGGTGACTTCTGTAAAGTTGTATTGAGTTTCTTTGAATCAAGCAAGCTTCTTAAGAGCTAGAATCACACAGTTATCTCCCTAATTCCTAAGTGCCTGAATCCTGCCACTTTAAAGCAATACATGCCCATCAGTCTTTGTGGGGTTGCTTATAGAGTAATTGCCAATATCCTATCTTTCAGAATTAAGCCTTGTTTGTCTGTTTGCATCAGTGAGAACCAAGCAGCCTTTATCCCAGGCACGCAGCTTTGGACAATGTGGTTTTGGCACAAGAGAGTGTTCACTTGCTTAGTAGGCATGCTTCAGGCAAGAAAGGCTTCATGTTGCTTAAGTTGGATATGGAAAAGGCATTTGACTGCATTGAATGGGAGAGTGTCAAGAAGGTTATGTTGCAAATGGGATTCCATGCTGTTTTTGTGAATTGGATATGGGCTTGTATCTCCTCCACAACCTTTTCTTTCAACATCAATGGGGAGCTTAAGGGTTATATATCTGCATCCAGAGGCATCAGGCAAGGTGATCCAATATCACCTTACATCTTCATAATTATTTCTGAAGTGTTCTCTAGATTGATCAAAAAAGAGAAAGATAGAGGCTCTTTTTGTGGACTGAAAATTGCTAAACATAGCCCTGCAGTTTCTCACTTGATGTTTGCAGATGACACACTGGTGATGTGCGAAGCCAACGTTAGCCATGCTAGAACTTTAAAGGATATGCTGCTCAAATATCAAAGATTCACAGGTCAAAGGGTTAATCTTTTGAAGTCCTCAATTTTTTTTAAGTAAAAACTGCTTGCCGTTGCTTAAATATGATATCTGTCTCTTGTTGGGTAATATTCAGTCTCATGCTACCAGGTATCTAGGTTTACCCCTGGGTATTGGTAGATCTAAAAAGGAGGCTTTTGATTTCATTCTGAAAGCAGTTAAGGGAAGATTAGTAAGTTGGAAGAATCAATTTCTCTCTGCAGTTGGTAAGGAGGTTCTAATGAAGGTTGTTTTTAATGCACTACTAGTCTTCTCAATGGCATGCTTCTGTTTGCCTATTGGAGTGTGTCAGAAAATTACCAGATTGTCTGCCAGCTTTTGGTGGCCAAGAGTGATCTGCAAAATAGAGTACACTGGAAAAATGGGGAAATATGACTTTGCCTTAAACTGTGGAAGGGCTTGGCTTCAAAGATGTGTTGTTATTCAATGAGGCACTTATTCTTAAATAGCTCTGGAGATTGGTCACTCACCCAAACCTTCTTATGACCAGAGTTCTGAAAGGCAAATATTTCCATGACACTTCTGTTCTGAAAGCTAAAAGTCCATATAATGTCTCTTGGCTATGGAGTATTTGGATGGGGGTTAAAGATAAATTCAGAGACAGTTTTAGAGTGGAAATCAGGCAAGGCAAAAACATCAGTGTTTGGCATGATCATTGGTTGCTTGGGAATGTGCAAGGGCTGCCTTTGTGGAATGAAGCAAGTGTAAGCAAAGTGAAATGGGTTAGTGAGCTTGTGTTGGCTGATGGGAAAACTTGGAACAGAGATCTACTAAAGCAGTGCTTTCACCCAAATGATGTTGAAGCCATCTTGAATGTCAAGTCCCTTGACCCACTGTTACCAGACAAATGGAAATTTGAAATGAACCCCAAAGGTATGCTCTCTGTTGCTAGTTCTTGTTGTAAATATTTTTTCGAAGTAGAATCAAAAGATTCGAACACCGAGTCGTGTCTCGCGAGGAAGGTTAGCCGGAGTTTTGTGTACATTTATTCAATCACACAAAAACAAATAAAATTCCTAAACATACTAATTCAAATGATTGGTTTGATTATTAACCACTACGTAATTCAAATAAGCAACAAAAATAGCAAGCAACAACGCAGAACAAGAGGATTTTAAGAAACTAGAGAGTCGGGGATATCCATTTTGGTTCGAATTGTAATTAATGGGCAAGTATTTTTTCAGTTAAGTGATTTAAATAATCTACACGTTCAAGTGCTCATTCTCAATAACTCTTTGTAACAAGAGGACAAACTAGAACGACGAATTTAACAAGTCATTTAACTCTTAGGCAATATAGTTACGAACAAGCCTAGCTTATGCGAGCTTATTTCGACAGACTCCTCCCCTTTCGGTTCTAAGAGTCGATTAAAATAGACTAGATGGTGGTTAGCCGACTAATCAAATAGAATCACCAATATCAAGCACGAATAAATAAAAAGCAGTTGAAAACAATTGGACGTTGAAGTGTCACCCTTCAACAATTCTCAATATGCAAGAATGATAACTGAATATCCATTTTAAAAGATTAACTCGCATGAGACGAACAATCAACGAACACCCATAATCACAATCTAAATCAAAACATAAATTTCATATTCCCTAGCGTATGTATTTAGCTACTCATAATCGAATCAACAATCACAATCATCTCAATCAAAGAATGCATATTCATCAATTAAATGAAAAGAAAATCTTATGATTAATAAAATCCAAAAGTTGAATTCGATAAACAAGCTTGAATCCAAAACCAATAGAAAATCCAAGATCAAATCCTTATTCTACGTCGAAAAATATGATAAGAGAAAGAAAATTGAATGAAAAGAACGAACGGACGCTCAAAACCCTCGTTGGAACTTAATGAAAATGGTCTCCAAAATCTGATAATAAAACTATGAATGTCGCGACCTCCGCGACTGCGGAGCTTCCCGAGGGTCGCGGCAAAGAGAGCCTCGCGGCCGCGACTTGCTCTGAGGTCGCGGGATTTCTTGCGCTGAAGTTTGGGACGCTGGCATCTTTTTGTTCGTCGTGGCCGCGGTGAAGAAGAGGTCGCAACGGCGGCGATGATATCTGGTGCACGCAGGGAGAAGTGCAGCAGGTGCCGCGGCGTGCTGCTTGCCGCAGCGTAGGGGTAGTGGTCTTCACAGCATTGTAGACCTCTCACGGCGTGGAGGGAGTGGGCTGTTGGGATCAATGAAGATCTCGTTATGCACAAATCACGAATTCAAGAGCAAAACGTAATCCTATGCGCAACGGATCTAAAGGTTTGCGTAGAGAACTTACGGCTTAAAATTTATGGCGATCTGGATGATCTTCTGGATGGCCGTACACAGCACACCAATGAATTTGTTGACTGCAAATCACGTCTTAGGATTGCACGAACAAGATGGGATCGAAAACCGGATCAAACGAGTGCAAAACGGATGAAGACAAGTTGCAGTCCTAGGACCTTGCTGCGGTGCGTGCGGCTGCGTGGGTGGTTGGACGGTTGCGATCTCAGCGGTGTTGGAAAGCTCTCGCCGAGACGGTCGTCTGGGTATGTTGCACGTCTTGATCGGACCTCCTGTTAGTTCTGTGCGACAAAATATATTTCGTCTCACTTTACCCAAAGATCTTCTACTGTATATCTCAAACACCTCTTAATCTTGTACCAGTGGAACAACAAGAAGAAGATAAAGCTCGAATGGGAATTGTGAGAGAGAATAGAGGCGTGGGGCGTATTTCACAAGATGTGTAATTCTCTCCTCTTCCCATGAGCTTAATAATGTATATATAGAGCTACAGTAGGGATCCTTAGGAGATTAGGATTAGGGCTCCTTAATTAATTAAAATACTTGTGGACCAAGCCACTTATTTTAATTAATTAAATAATATTAAATGGGGCACCAACATAATATTATTGCACTCCCTTTTCCTAGCCCAATTTACAATTGAGACTCCAATAATAATTACTCGATTTATCTCTCCATGTTTAAGATATAATGTCCATTAATTAATCCAATTACTGACAATCAAGAATTAATTAATTTATTATTATTTCATCAAAGCTAGCGCTGGTCCACCACATTATTATTATTATGCCGAAAGTTAATCCACCTGCAGGGTTTAGCATAATAATCCTTCATGAACTCACTCCGGGTACATCATGAAACTAACGCACATGGTGACCGTAAATATCCTAACAACACATCCTACATGTAGCAATATTACCCAAGACAGAGGGTCTATTGGCCAGTTCACTAAGCCTCACCCATGTGAATCAAATTAATAAATACTACACATATATGTCTGTTTAATATCTTACTGGTTAAGAGTACGCAGTAATTAACCGAGGCCTAGTTCGTTTACGACGATCAGTATAAAACGAACTGCTCCTCTCTGGGATTCTGTTCAATACATAAATGTACTAGTGCAACTAATCAGTCAAGACAAACTATACAGTTGACACTACAACCGTTCACGATAGAGTGTTCATGTCCATCTGGATTGTGAACCACTTATTCTTGTTTCGCGAGTAACTGATAGCATGATTTTCGGTTCGCCCGATGACGGCCCACACTATCTAATGCAAAACAACAGAACGTAGAACTTGTTTAATCTAACATGTTTCTCATTCATAAAGGGTAAAAGTGTAATATCATCCAAACCAAGCTTTCAGTATATAACACTAACAATCTCCTACTTATACTTAAAGCTTTCGCTTTTACAAGTAAGTCTTATCAATCCGTTATTCTAAAAGATCTATGTCGATCCTATCGCCATGCACTTGACTCCCATTCCTGTCACGTCTTTGACGAAGACCTTCTCCGGCAAACTCTTCGTGAAAGGATCAGCTAGGTTGTCCTCAGATGCAATCTTGGCAACATCAACGTCTGCTCTACCAACTATCTCTTGGATCAGATGGTA